ACAAAACAGATGAAAGCTGCAAAAAGATATCGAAGCACTTCCAGCTCGCAATTTCAGAAATGTCAATAAGTGCATTAAATTACAGTTAAGGCGAGCTTTGGAAGTCAAAGCAAGATGTGGAAGACCAAGAAAACTCAGACAGAACTGCTTGTATGTCAGCTAGAAAGGCAAAGCAAAACCCCCATATGACAGCAAAAGACCTGCAGGAAGGTTTAGCTGACACCTTAGAAGTGGTGTTTGGACAAACATGATCTGCACTGAAGAGCCATCAAAATGAAACCTCACCCGTGACTTCATCAAGGAAGTATGCAAAACATCTAGATTAAGTTGCTTAGCAAAACAAAATATGATCAACAAAATATGTATTAACAACATATGTAATATGTAACTTTTGTACACAACTGTATGTGTACATTTTGTGTGTAAGTCATTGGTAATTATTTCTCGATTTACCTCAGTTGGCAGCAAATTGGCTCACCATTCATCATTCCTAATTTTACCTCACTGGATTTTGTGCTGACATCATGGGTTTAATGCATGACACTAAATCTATCAATTTAACAATGAAGTACTTCTTGGCTAGCCACATTTAGCTAGCCAATTTAGCCACAGTAGTCTATCTCACGGTTTAAAACAGATCCTGTATCTTTCCTCCTGCGCCTCCAGTATCGTTCCTCCTGCGCCTCCAGTTTAGGAAAAAAGCCATTTGAGTATCTGGGGGATTCCCGACTCACGTTGTGGCACATTGTAAAACTCTGAAAATTTCTTAGAGGTGACACAGCCTTACAGTTGCCAATCTATGATTGGAGAATCAGCATTTAGGAAAGGGGCCTAGTTTTTTAAGCAGAAAAGACAGTACCTTATAGTCAATTCAAAAATTTCAGCCAACCAACAATGCACATATTATGATGTCATGTATTTTTTGTATCATTGGGAGAGTTAATTTAGTTATTTGTAATGGCAAAAGCAAACCTGGGCAAACACCCTACACTATACCAATAAGAGTCCTTGGGCAAGACTCCTAACACTGCCTTCACCTACCTGTGTAAAAATGATCACACTGTAAGTCGCTCTGGATAAGAGCGTCTGCCAAATGCCATAAATGTAAATGTAAATGCAAACTAAAATGTTCAAAACAGTTATGTCCTAAACTGAGAGGGCAGGACAATTTTTTTGCCCCTCATGGTGCCGGGCCTGTGTTGCTGGTAGATATTCAAGATGTAACAAACTACAGTGCAAAAATATGATAATTTGCTAGGGGTTGGCAGTGTGACAATATGTTACTGTTATTGTGACATATGAGGACATGCGATTTTCTATCACAGGTATCATCAGCATTTTCAGAACACTCAACAACTACAATTATCATAAAAATAAAGACATATTAAGAGCAATCATAGACAGTCTGTAAGCAGTAACAACAACGATAACCAATTTGTTGTAGCTGCATAAATACACACACAGTCATCATCCTTCATTCAAATAATGTTCACTGTATCATTACAGTCCTAGTAGATGTAGCCTATCTGAAGCAAAAGCTAGTCCCTTCTGTGTAGTACCTCAGTATTATCATCATAAAGACAAGATGAACACAACCCTCATTTCTTTCTGTCACTTCTCCCTCTTTAGCTTAATTTATAATGGTTCACAGCCCTGTAAGCTGAAACATCTGGTTAACCCATGACTGCAGGGGACTCTTTCCTTCAGAATTTCTTCGCATGTTTCATACAAGGCAATTAAACAGGAAAATGAGTGGCTTTGAGGGGAAACAGAGCAGTGGTCCTCCTGCAGTTCTCATCAACTCTCCATGCATCAGGCTGAGTTAAAGCTGTTAGCATTTTACCACTGCCATCCACAGGCAAAAGGAGAAACAGAACATGGAGGTGGAATATGTATCATTTCAGTTATTACGACACAGAAACATACTATTTCTGTTAGATTTAAGCAATCTATAATGAGCAATCATATAAAATGACACATTACAAAGTATAACAAAAATGACAATAACAACAAATATATTACAAAGCACAACAAACAATGATGAACAGTTATACCAGCTGGCCGTTAAATTTACTCCACTTACAGCAGGGGTCTCAAAGCAGAACAACAAAGCAGAAGGACACCTGATCCATGGTTTGGAGATCTGAAGACCAACTGATTAAAAAATGGTATCAGGTATGTTCCTGCTTGACTTGAATGAAAACATACAGCCACAACCGGCCCTTTGTGGATTGGATTGGACACCCCTCGCTTACTGATACATACAAGGCCTGACCTACTAAGCCTTTTACGCCAGTTTTGGGTGCAGTTCAGATACATTTTGAATGAGTGTTACGTACAAAACTGGCCCACACAGTTTATAGGCTCACTTTACATCCATGTAAAATGCAAAATGCACTTCTATTACTCACATGGCCAACTGCATTTTTTTGCATTTTTTTGTGCACAATTTATATTTATTTGCTGAGTTTAACATATTAGGGGGGAAAAATAAAACATAAAATACAAAATGTGCCATATTATTTGCACATGCCACATTGGAGGCTCCCCCCCGCAAGATTTTAAATTCAGCAAATAAACAGTAACTGTGCATTAAAATGTGCCAAAGTGTGTTCTCTGTAGTTGATGTGTTAACTTGTTTTCACTTGGGTGTACCCAAACGTTTTCATACGACTATACATTTGCATTTAAAGGAGGGGCCAACAAGTGGGCATTATCATTACAATATTACATGTGTGACTGACTGCATGTTCTACTCGATTTACTAAAGTTTGAGCAACTCACAGTGGACAGCTTTGTGTTGATTTTCCTCTGGCTTTTAAAACTAAGAGTAATTTTGCATTTAGCTCTCAAAAGGCATGCTGCTGAGAGACTTCCTTTAACAATGGCAGCAGACACAGCCTTTATACAGATGCACAAGCTGATCAACACATGCTGAAAAAATGGCATAAGAATAACTCTCGGGACCAGATGTACGAGTGTGAGAACACGCAGAGCAAAATATGCCATGATATGGACAATATACAAGCGCGTAGTCTGGGTATCATAATCATGACTAAGAACTTAATTTATTAGCACTGCTATGTCTTTGATATACATATGGCCCTCAGTGTACACTTTCTCAGAAACTCCTACCTTGTAGCTCCATCTTGCTAGTGTACAGTCAGAGACAGCAGCTGTTGATGCACAATCTGTGTTAGCCATCACCTAGCTTCTTCATCCAAGCTCAATTTCTGACAACTGAGCTGCTCTCGGTTGGATTTTTTTGGATGATGGGCCATTCTCAACCTAACAGTGACACCGACGTGTTTAAAAATCCCTGCAAACACTGCAGTGTCTGATACACTCATTATTGCACCATACACAGTATCACGTCTGTGCTGAGATTGGTCCACCAACCAAATAGTATCTCAGTATGGTCACAGGATAATGACAAATGGGCTGGCTGACACATTGTGGATCATGGTAGATGGGCTACAGTCTGTAACAGTGGCCAGTGATTGGAAGTACATGACAGTTGATTCTAATAAAAAGACTATAAGCGTTAATCTAGGCCTAAAATCATCCAAAGTCCTTATAAAAAACGCCACCAGGCAGTCATTTCCAGTCATACAAGACCAGGGGCTGTATTACAGTAACCTCCTAGCTTTTCATCTTAAGTTAAGATCGGACAGGTCAAGATAAGATTTTTCACAAATTTCTATTACAGAAGCAAATCTTACCTTAATTTAGGAATTTTTCAGCATTTTATCTCAAGTTAGGACATCTTAACCTACTCGATTGAAGCCAACAAACAACTATCATGTCTGATACCCACCGATCATACGAGCACAGCTGAAACATAAACACGTAATTAAAATAATCAAGTTAGTTAGCTAGACAGCTAGCTACCCTTACTGATGTAAAAAAAAAGGCCAAAAGAAAACAAAAGTGCGATAAACATGAAGTTAAGAATATTGTGTCAGCACCCCCTGTTTATCAGAGCACTTGCTGTTCCCCAGATTCAGTTTCTATTTCCCAAACGCTTTAGCCGAGCACACTAACGTTATTCCTCCTAATAAACAGACACATGTTCAGCTCTGTCTCGTCATTATTCACCATAATCACTGTAATGTTTTATCTGATTAGTTTTCATCAACATTAACACAAAAAGATAATAAGACGGGACGGTGGAGATCGTGTGTGCAGTGTCTGGGATTTTTAAAAAGCTGTTAGAAAAAACCCTCTTAAGTCAAAGCACCGTTTTCAGTGTAGATAAATGTACAGTCAATATGCTAGTTACAGTGAACTATACTGCCTGTCACTGCACAAAATGACAGAAACTGACAGTTAAAATAAGCTAAAACACCTCTGCGTTTGTCTTTACGTTAGGAAAGTATTTAGGAAATGTAGTCAGGTTAGGATGTTTCTGTAATACAGTTTTCTTACCTGGAGTTAGGATAAGATTATGAACTTAAGAACTGCTGTTCTGTAATAGCTTCTGTCCTAAATTCAGTCCTAAATGAAGTTGTCATGGTGACTAAACAGATAAGATTTCAAAGTTAAGAAGTTTCTGTGATACGACCCCACATTCTTATCTCTGTGAATGGGGAGAGACCTAAAAACGTGAAACTGAAGGCAAAATGATCGTTTCGAAAACACACTTGAAATCACTTGTAAAACAGTTTGTAGCGCTTGGCCCAATAATAAACAAAAAACACTTTTTGAGGTTGTTCTGACAAGCTTTCCCATCCATACTTTAACCAGTCTTATGAGCTTTCCCTTTCATATTTCATCCAATGACCTGTCTCCACCTTTATAACGTCTCTGTATCAGGAAGTATGTTTCTTGCTCCTAAACAGATGTCAATCCAAATCAGGCTTCCTTAACCATTAATATAGTGACAAAACTTGTAATCATATCGTACAAGTCTATCTGTCCTGAATAGAATAGAATAGAATAGAATAGAATAGAATAGAATAGATCTCTGGCCTCCCTGATGGTACTAATAACTTGTATACCTGTTCTGGAGAAGCTGGAGGATCGAATCTGCTGGCGCACACCTGGAAGGCGTCTGGCTGGGGCTTGCCATTCTTCACTTCTGGATCATCTCCGAGGACAATGTGTTTGAAGAGGCTGAAGAAGTCTTTATGGCGGCTTGTCTTCATCTCAAAGGTCAAGCCAGCTGAGCTGGTAGCCACAGCAATGGGGATGTTGTGTTTATGGAGATGAGTTACGAGTTTCTCAACACCTGAGAGCAGAAATGGAGATGCATGTGAGCGTCTCAGACTAGAATACAAACAAAACTGACTGAATCAGGACCGCCACTCTTAATGTGGTAAACGAATAAAAACTTTTGTGATTTTGCCTTTCAGTTTTACTATGGGCATTGCATCATGGGTACCTTTCTTCTTTTCTTTTTCTTGTTGGCATGCTCTTTTTTGTTTAATTAGAGAGCGATCTGCAAGTACTTCACTGACATTCCAGTTCAACTCATCTTTTTGGAACAGTACCTAAAAGTGTGTATTACCCAGAGTGGCAGAACTCTCTCTGGCCCTGGAGCTAGTTATGGGAAAAGCTCCCTTGAAACCTTCTGACAACGACCTGAAGGCAGAAGTCAGGAAAGGTAAACATCTCAAACATTTTTAGTTTTACATTATTAAAAAAAAATGTGAGTCTGAAGGACAGAATGCAGCACCACATGCAGTAAAAGCGTTTTAATTAGCAACAGCTAATTTATCCTTAGTTCTTAGTTATTCTAGGTAATGTTTTAGTAAGTTTAAGTAAGACATTCCTTTGAAACATACACCAATCAGGCATAACATTATGACCACCTCCTTGTTTCTACGCTCTTTGTCCATTTTATCAGCTCCACTTACTATATAGGTGCACTTTGTAGTTCTACAATTACAGACTGTAGTCCACCTGTTTCTCTGTATACTTTGTTAGCCCCCTTTTACCCTGTTCTTCAGTGGTCAGGACCCCCATGGACCCTCACAGAGCAGGCACTATTTGGGTGGTGGATCATTTACAGCACTGGAGTAACACTGACGTGGTGGTGTGTTGCGCTGGTCTGAGTGGATCAGACACAGCAGTGCTGCTGGAGAAACAGATGGACTACAGTCTGTAATTGTAGAACTACAAAGTTCACCTATATAGTAAGTGGAGCTGATAAAATGGACAATGAGCATAGAAACAAGGAGGTGGTCATAATGTTATGCCCAACTGGTGTACTAAAACTCCACTCGGACTCACAGCGCAAGGACTGACGGCTTGGACTCACTCCTAGGAGATTTGAGACTCAGACTCACGCCTCAAAGACTCAAGACTCACATCAAGTGATTCGGGAACATTACTGCTGGAGAACTCAAACCCAACATACATAGAATGGAGCCTGTTAATTTGAAGCCCATTACAACTGACCCAAGAGACCCAACAGATAGCATGCAACTGAATTTACAATCCAATTTTTGAAACTGTCACTAATTAAGGGAGCTCCTTGACCCAAGTCTTATTATACCGAGCTCTGGTCAAGATGGCTTTTAAAGAGTCACGATTTGACTCTCTTCCGCTTGCATATGCATGCAATACAAAGTCATTAACTAATTACAAACTGAGGGCCACAGCACTTATGCTGAGAAAGTCATGTCTGATGAATAAAGGTAAAATTATCCTGCTCAGGGTGCATGCCCAAATCACAGGAAAAGGTCACAATGATTGCTCATGCTCACAAACCTCATGGGGTCACCTGGCACCTCTTTACAAAGTTAGAGAAAAAGCTAATTATGAAAGCACGAGCAGCAAACCAAACAACCACTGTGACCTTTCCCATAATTTCAGCAACTACTCTGATCAGACTAATTTCACTTTCATTTAACTGCAAGCTTTTCCAAAACACTGGGCCAGTGGCCAAGAGACGTATGTGTAGATCAATACATTTTGAGAAATGTAGTAAAGCAAAATGCAATATCACAGTTTTTGGAGGGTATTTCATAGAAACACAATCGCAGGTGAAAATTCAGTTGGCATGAAGAAAGTTAATGAACCCATCGTTTCTAAGAACTTCTACTTATCCCTAAAAGAATGTCTTACAAAACCGTTTTCACTGAACTGTTTTGTTATCTTAATATTAAGTAGAGCATTGCAAATGTTAAACAGTTCGAAAGCACGTACCCAGAAAGGAAACATACAATTTAATTGGCTTTCATGTATTTTAGCATTTGATATTTTCATATATTTATGCGTTATGTGAAGAATCCAACCAGACTGCACTAAGAGCACTAAAATGCACAGAATCTGGGGCTGTTTTTTTCTTAAAATGGTGTCAGTGTACTTGTGTTTATTGATAGGATCATGAACTCAGAAGTGTACAAAGACATGTTAGATGTAAACCTGCAGAAATGTGCAAAGCAACTGCTCAAACAGTAACGATCTGAAAGAATACTGTGAAAGAATATTTTGCCAAAAGAAAATCAAACTTTGTTTAAAATGAATGCCACTTGGTTGGACATTCTGTTTCCCCAATACAATGAATTTAATACATTTTTAGGTAAGCCAAATGTCCAAATACTTCTTGGGCCCACTACATACTCCCTAATATGCCACTGATGTGTTCACTTTTATAAATTGTTGTTGCTGGTGTGGCTGCTGTAGACATTCTGACTATAAAATGTCTCTGGAAGACACTTCTACAGATCTTGGAGGCAAACAAGCCTGCACAGTTATTACCTGGCATTAGGGCAGCAGTGGGGAAGAGGCGCTCCTGTATTTTTCTGCTCTCCTCCAGCAGCTCCTCAGGGCTCATAGGGAGTTCCAGCGAGTCTCTGATGATCCTGGCTGCATCCAGAGCCTTCTTACCCATCACTGAAGACTTTACATCCCATGTGTATGTCTTTCCGAAGCGGTCACAGATCTCCTGGAAGGAGACAGTGTATAGCTTCTCTGTATCTGAAAGAAACAGCAAAACATTGTGGTTTGGAGGAGGAGCTGTGATTACAAGCTACAGTGAGCATCTGTCCAGCAAATGTCAAATGAAAGATGAACGGAGAGAGCTCCCTACGTTAGGCAGTGTTAAAAATGTCCCTTATGTAGTGTGCTATGTTAAGTCATGAAACTATAGCTTCTGCACCTAAGCAGTGCAGGAATTGTTAAAGGGGAATTCCACCAATATTTCAAAATTTATGCATAACTGAGATGTAAACAAAGTTATCCAGAGTAGCTTGATATGAAATGGTCCACTGTAGAGAAACATACTGAATCAGATTCCTTTACAGTAGTAATGATAGACAGCAGAAGTCACAATGTCTACAACACAACTGTAGACGTTTTGTTTACTAACTAAATCCACCAGTGAACCTTCACAAAAAAGGTTTTCTTTGAGGACCACTTTGCCTTATAACACCTTACATGTATCTCTCCAGCATTCATGGATTTTAAAAAGTACCTTGTAGCCCACATGTTTATCTCAAATCTATCACAGAACAATGTATTTGGCATCAGGGAGTCATTCCAAGTAATGTAATAACTTTCTGTGAGGGAGAAAGCTAGGCTAAACTCTGGAGACGTCTGGTTCCTACCACCACCACTGTGAACAATTCTGACTCAGCAAGTTTCTTGGAGAATGGAGCATTTCACATCAAACCACTCGGAATGGCTTTGTTTATAGCTTAACAAATGATTTATGGAGAAATTTGGAAAAATCGGTGGAACTCCCCTTTAAGCAGTCAGTTGTGCAGCTTACGGTTCAACGTCAAATGGCTTTCTATTAGACATAACGCACTTTGGGTCGGTATTTCATGCCCTACACAGTGCACTACACGGGGAGTAGGGTGCCGTTTGAGACTAGGACAATGTAAAAGAACCATACTTTTAAAAACGGCTCTGTTTGGTCTATAAGAACGACTGACAGTAAGATGTTCGACACCTGGACTCAAATGAATCGGAATAAGGTGAAGAGCAGATGTGCAGCTAACTAGCTAACTAACCTAGCCAGCAAAACACAAACCATAGTGTAAGAGCAAAAACTGAAGCTCCTCACCCACCTAACAACAACCCGTCCATGTCGAAAATCACATGAGTGACTGGTTTGTAGGTCATATTGTCACCAGAAGGCACTTCTTTAAGTTCAACTCGCGACTTTCTGCTCTTTCCGTTAGTCTGAGAGAAAAGAAACCGGCAGGACTTCAGACTGAGGATATGGTGGACAATCAAAATTCAACGTGAAACCTTCTCCGTTATGATCTAAGATGGGCTTTTGTGGTCGATGTGTTACTCCTTATACTTTATAAATGCAAAAAATCTAACACAGAGATACACAACGATTTTAACTGTTCTCATCGTGGTACTTGTTTTACACAAACTGTGACCTCCGAGTAGATTATTATTGTCCAACAATTTCCGCAGTGCTTCATGGGAAATGGAGTTTTCTCACGCAGCAGCACATGTTCATTGTACCGTTGCGGGCTCATGATGCTGTCAGTATTTTACTGACCAAATTGACCAAATGACCATTTACTAGCCAAATCTATCAGAAATATAAATACAGATTTTACTAACCGCGGAGTTAGTCTTATTTCCTTTAAGATATCCAGACAAGAGGCATTTTAAAAGTGTTTCCAGTTTTTTTATTATTTTTTTTATAATTTTTTTTTCACTTTCAATAACATTTGTGTTTCTGTAACACCGCTGACAAAAATATTGGGACACATTTAATTATTAAAATAAAATAATATTTATGTCTGTAAAATAGTTTTAACATAGGTCAGACTATATTTAGTGCATTTTTACTATTTATACTGAACAGGCATTAAATTTGTTTTTTGTTTTTTTTACATTAAATAATACTTCAACATCTCACTGCAGTCACGTGCTGTTTTTCATGCACAACATAAACAAAAATCACTGAAATAAAAATTCAAAAATAAGAATTTTCATAGTTTCTTGTTTGCTAATTTAGGAATAGAACAAAACATAAACAGAGATCAACATTTTGTGAAATGCTTATAAAAACAGAAAGCAGTGATTAGGAAATTCAGTTTGACCTGTGTTAATTTGAAAACAGCACCAAAACACAATATTTGATGTTTTACCTTGTGGGCTTTTTAAAATATACTACTTATTCCACATTTGATGCCTACAGCACAAAGTTGAAACAGGAGCATGTTTACCATTGTGTCACATCAATTTTCCTTTTAACAACTAGTCATTTGGGCACTAAAGACATAAACTCATCCAGTTTTCGAAAGCAGATGTGGTTTAGCGTTGTCATGTTGAAATAATCATGCTGCATAACCCAACTGCACTTGAGCTTTAGGTCACGATCTTAAGTCACAAGGGGTGAACATTCACCTTCAGGATTTTCAGATAGAGAGCAGAATTCATGGTTCCATCAATTATGACAAGTCATCCAGGTCCTGCAGAAGCAAAGCAGCCCCAGACCATCACTCTACCACCACCATGTTTTACTGTTGGTATGATATTCCTATGGTGGAATGTGGTGTTAGCTGTAGGCCAGATGTAACGGGACCAATGTCTTCCAAAAAGTTTCACCTTTGACACCTTTGTCCACAGAATATTATCAAAAAGTCTTGGGGGTCATCTAGATGTTTTTTGGCAAATGCGAAACAAGCCTTTGTGCTCTTTATTCAACAGTGGTTTGCGCCTTGCAACTCTCCCATGGATGCCGTTTTTGCATAGTATACATTGACCTTAACTGAGGCAAATAAGTCTCATGTGTTACATTACAAGCATGTGTAACAAGATTACTGTGAAGTTAGATTTTCTGAAGACAGGAAAAGACAGTCATTATTTATTTCTTACCAAAAATAATACATCTGGGGGCAGTAATAATTATATAATACTACAGCATATAAAAATAATGTAATGGCGAGCTACTGCACTCTTGCAATAGATTTTTAATTACACAAATAGACGTAGCACATAGCTGAAATGAGTAGGATTCAGCATCGTGCAGTGCATAATACTCAGGAATATTCAGATGAAAAATCTAATTTTTCTCTTAACCCAAATGTAGTTGATCAGCCAAGACATGTTTGGCGCACGTCAATGTGCTACTAGGCCATTGCTACGATATCCCACATGGTTGCTAAGATATTGCTAGGCCATTTCTATGTAATCCCATGTGGTTGCTGAGATGTTACTAGGCCCTTGCTATAGTATCCCAGGTGGTTGCTACGATGTTGCTAGGCTATTGCTATGGAATTCCAGGTGGTTGCTAATGTGTTCCTGGCCGATTGCCATGGTATAACAGGTGGCTGTTAAGGTGATCCTAGGCTATTGCCATGAAAACCCAGGTGGTTTTTAAGGGTTTGCTAGGCAGTTGCTATGGTATCTGGGGGATTGTTAAGGTGCTACTAGGCCATGTGATCCCAGGTGGTTGCTTAGGTGTTGCTAGGCCATTTCCATGTTATCCCATGCAGTTGCTGAGGAGTTACTAGGCCCTTGCTGTAGTATCCCAGGTGGTTGCTAAGGTTTTGCTACACCATTGCTATGATGTCTCAGGCAGTTTCTAAGGTGTTGCTAGGGCATTGCCATGGTATGCCTAATAACAGCACTAGCTCCTCAAAGTGTAGGCTATTACTGCTAAAGCAACATAACTACCACATTTGGCAAAGCTTGCTGGTTTTTCTTGGGTTGTTTTTTGATGTCAGTTCAATGTGCAGCAGTGTAACCTTGCATATAGCATTACTCTTTTTTCATCTACTTTACACAATTCGGAGGATCCAGTGATATCCAGGGGGAAATTGTATGTAGCCATGCTTAGAACTGGAATCCCTTATACTGACATGTCATGAACAACAAAATGACAGCACAGCTTCAGAGGTATAAGCTTAGACACTACCAATTACCATCATGCAAACTGCATGCCTAAATCATCAAACGCTTTTCTGAAACTGTGTCAAGCTGTTAAGCAATCTCAAATAGACTGTAGGCTGCTATTTATAAAATTGGACAAAAGTGCAGACAAACTTCAGGCTTGAAAAGAATGTGTCATACAGCGTCAGAAACCTCTTAAGCAGCAATACTTGGCTAATAGTCTACATTTCTGCACAGGAACTTGTGTACATTTGACAGTAATCATTTTCCATCATCTTTTAAATCATCATCAGCTACTCTGAAGCTGTTATGCTTATGTAGCTTCAGATGCAGCACATCAACAAACACTAGTTGTCCAATTTTATTGAAGAAACTGGATCTAAATGTGGCTGATTCACTCTCGCCAGAGAAAGAAGCTGATGATGTGGGTCTGTTTTCAGCTCTGACACCGAAAGTCGGTCAGCAGATGCTCTGATTGCGCCTCCCCAGCATCCCCCAGGATGCATCGCAGCCCACACAGGGCCAGGTGTTTGCAGCTCCGCCGCAGAGCCGTCAGGCCCGGCTTCGCTCCTCTATGGCACTTTGGCCGGGTAATTGGGAGCTCAATGTAAACGGAGTGTGTCTCGTTAAAAGGAAGGGGGGGGCAGTGTCTGGGGAATGGCGGGGTAGGAGGGATGGGGGTGGTGGATCTTCCGACATGGAGCAGCTAATGAGGCTATGGATTCCGGATCTAATTGGGTGAGGCAGAGACACAGAGGCTCGGACACGGCTCCGGTTTGGCTGATTTCCACCAGGCTGCCTGCCTATGGGGTAGGCAATTGGCTGGAAGTGTGCTTGGAGAACATGGGAATGTTAAGCCATTTTTTTTTTACATTTTCATTGTTTGCTGTTAAAAGTAGCTTAGGCAGATGTGTCCAGGTCGGTTCTGTAGATTCAGATTATGCCTAGCCTGCTGGAGAGTCTCTCTGTTACCCAAGCCAGATTCAATTAAAGGAACAGTTGCCTCAAACTGCTGTATGGCATACTGCTATAGGCCAAATCAGCGTTATGTCAGTGTTACGTCACAACAGCAAAGAGCTTATTTCCAGGTGGATAATGCAGGTAGTGCTGCACTGGCACAACAGAACTTTGTATTATCCTGAGAGTCATTGAACCAAGATAGTGAAAAAGCAAAAGGCTTTCTTTAAATTGAACTTCCTAGGTCAATATAACTTCATGACTCCATGTGGTAAATTTTTGTCATGTAATCATGAATTTGCACCACACATTTCACTGCAAGCATTTGCTTTATAAGGGTGTCTTCCCACCGCACATTCAAAAACAAAAACTGACCCTAGCATGAACCAACTGAACTTGATGTTCTAGTTCATTTCCCGCCTGCTCAAGAGACAGCTGGAGCTGTTACAATGACAACGATTAACAATTAAATGATCTTTTCGGTTATTTTATGTCACACTAAGATGTCTATTGGAGCCAATTAGCTACCTGGCTTGCTAGTTTGCTTATGTTATTGGCCAATATAAAGTTATATACAGCACTGTTCTGTGCAGTCAGCCATTTACGTATGATCTTGAAAAGTGAAGAATTAGCTAAATTGTCGTTGGCTTCAGCTGTGAGTGTTGTAAAAGACAGAAGGTTTAACAACTATTATAGTAGCTCTACCTGATTTTGAAAGCTGGAAAACAGGAAGTTTAAAAAAAAAGGTACATATGAAAACTTAGAAGACGTGTAGGTTCACTGTTGGTTTTGGATAATATATAAAATGGTTATATTTGTGTCCCTAGCAGTGGTGGTTCCTATCACCACCACTGCAAAGAAAATCCAAAGAGTCCATAAGTTTCTCTAGAAAGAGTGTTTATCATCAAATCACTCTGATCAACTTTTTTACATGTGGAATTCTTCTTGGAGTTGTAGGTGATATATTGCCATCATATTCAATCATATTAGGCACCATGGCAGTGTTCCTGACGAGGACACCTGCAAAGAGGTACAATAAGATTTTGAGCTTCAAAGTTACGTAGCTCACTGCGGATATTATATCATATTATTAGCTGCAAAATTATGGTTTCATAAAAGTTACAGTTTTAAGTGATGTTTAATCGGCCTACGGTGAATAAATGGTGATTCAAAAAGTTCTGAAAGCAGCCAGTAGATGCAGCAGGTTCTCGTCTTTTCCATAAAATAAATGTGATACAAAAGTGTTCTTTTTTTGCCACAGACGAACCACATTCAGTTCCCTAAAGAACCATATGAAAAAAGAGATTTATGAGTAAAGAAATTCTTAAAGGTTTAATGAACCTTCACATCTTAGTAGAACCTTTACATTCTGTGTAGATCCTTTAACCTTTTTTTTAAGGGCACCATTTTTGCACCTTTATTT